GACCTTATTTTCTTTTACTTTGATACTGATTGGCATGTGTCAAGGTTCTGGTACCATTCTGGTGGTAGTTGGTTTCTTTTCTAAGAGGATTAATTTCATTCCATTACAATCTTCCCTCTGTCTCTGAGGCAGTTATCTTTTAAATTTTCTGGAATCATTGCTTACCCAGTCTCATTTCTGACAAAGGCCCATAATTCACAACACATTTTTGGAAAGATGTATTTCAGCTATTGTACATAAAGCTCCATCTTCCCTCTATCATCATCAGCTAACTAACCACAATTAGATCCTGAAACTGAGAGGACAGATGCCACCTTAGAGTAACAACTCTGTTGTATGTAAACATCCAGCATCCCAACTTCCAGCATGTAGCCTTTTCTTTATGGCTTAAATGTCATCATGCTTGTGGTGAAATGCTTCTTGGCTGTCCTCTTTTCTGCAAGAACTGCAAGCCATTTAGCACCTCTTGGACCAAGAACTCCCACAAGAGCTTTTCTGACAATTTTCACCAAAAATCACACACATCCTGCATTATTTCTGGAGACCACATCTGACTTTGTACCAGATTTCTGTCTTTCATACAACAGTCTAAAAGGTTAGATCCAAATACTATTTCCTGTAGTTGCACAGATCAAGCCTGTAGCTTTTCATCTGCAGCTTCCAGTCTCACTGAAAATATCATCCAGTTTTCTAGTCTCTCCTGGTCCTGGAATACCTCCATTGCCCTTTGAATACTTTTGCTCCACTACATCCCCTTGTTGGGGAGAAGAACGAATTGGAGATGGAATATATTCTGGACTCCCATAACAGAAGGAGTAGATTGGAATATTTGATTCATTGGAAGAGCTACCCAGATACTGAAAAATAATGAGGAGCAGCAGAGGACTTCTTGCCCTTTGCTTCCTTTGACAGTTCCATTTGCAGTACCCTCACAGGCCCAAATCATTTAACTAGCTGCATTTTTCAACTATTCTGAAGGAGAAGAGAATGGTTTAGGGAAGAGGAAGGAGACCTTTCTATAACCACTGAAAAGAAAAAGATAGTAACTGCCCCATCTAAGGTTGAGGGGAAGAGTTCTGGAATGGGAGGAACTTCTTATGAAGAAGTACAACTAATGGACCTCCCCCCCCCCCCCAGCTTCCTGCTGTCATAATAAAGAAGATACAGAAGGACTTCAGAGAAAATTCCCTTTGACTGCTGCTGGAGAAAAAATAGAAATTCCTCTCACTTTTCCAGGGAGGAAGAAACCTCACCAACTTTGGACAGAGGAAAAAAATGGAAATGTATCTCCTTCCTGATAATTCCAAGACAATAGGAAGGAGTGGTAGAGAAGTTTGAAGGTGGGAGGTTTTGTCAATTCCAGCTGACAAAGAAATGAAATTCCTCTCACTTTTCCAGGGAGGTATAAACCTCACCAACTTTGGACAGAGGAAAAAAATGGAAATGTATCTCCTTCCTGATAATTCCAAGACAATAGGAAGGAGTGGTAGAGAAGTTTGAAGGTGGGAGGTTTTGTCAATTCCAGCGGACAAAGAAATGAAAAGGAGGGGGGCACAGGGCCTTCCAGTCTTAGAAGGAGGGGGAGATGCACCTGGGACCTACAGATCCAATTGAAGAGGGGAAGGAGAAATGAGAGAGATGGGTAGTAGAAGGGCTAATGCTGATGAGACATGAAATAGTATTACTGAGATCAGATAGAACTGTTGTATACACATGGAGTAGGTGCATTAGAATCTCAAGGCTGAGAAAAGCAAATGTCTGCTGACTTGAAAGGATGGGGAAACGGCTTAAGATGACTTACCTAACTATATAAGTCCTTGGCAATTGTATTGTAATTAGTTCCTGAATATGAGGTTTGAGTTTCTGAAAGAGTAGAAATTTATGGCTGTGCCTGGTCTGAAATCTGGCAGTTCACTTGTACACATGTACTATACATACCTATCAACTCAAAGTTTAGCTGGCTAAGCTAGATTTGAGTTCCAGAAGAATCAAGGTAGGAAGCCCAACATGCATAGTACTTCATTCTGTGTGATTGCTCCAAGTACTACGTTCCCACTTTTAAAACTTCCAACTAGTATTCTTCTCATGTTTACTGGTACTTATCCACTTGAATGCTATTGCTTCATCCAGTTCACATGGGTATCATCTCTTCTTTTGAAAATCATCCTTTACTGAGTCTTAGAAATTTCTCTTCCAATATTCTTTCACATCTTGCATAGGCTGAAATGTTCAGATCAAATCCTTCTGCCTGCATGGCCTGCTTTGAATGGATCTCATGTATTCCATCTTTCATACATGTCCATCCACACTGTCATAAATACATGGCACATGGTTGTGTGTGCATATACATATGTATATGTATGTAAAAATCAAAGAGCTACAAATCACATTATGTGATAAGTATATTGCAAAACTAGTAGCAATGTAGACAAGCATTTATATGCTAATGATCAGAATATAGTAAATGATGAACTTCAACTCTTAGTACAGGAAGGTAAACATGATTTAATAGATATAAAAGAGACCTTTTAGAATGAGACTATTATAGTATCTATATCTATATATCTATAAATCTCTCTAATGCGTAAACTCTGTATAATATATATAGCATTCTATAATAGTTGAAGGATGCTGTTTGTTTAAAAGGAATAAAAATAGTAGAAAGAAAAATCACTTGCACTGTTTGTGAATGATACTGCAGAGAATATCTGAGTTAAAATAAATGGAGGAACATGTAAAAGCTGTATATGTTGATGTCTAACTATTGCTTGCCCAGCCAAAGAGAACATATGGATGATACCTTCCAAAATTAACTAGTAGATATTTCAAAAAGGGATAGTGTACTAGTGATAGCAAACTTTACCCCAAAATCTATTGGGGGACAGATTTGTCCAAGTTTGGTCTTCCAGGAAATTCCTAACTTGTCTTGTTGAAAACTTTCTCATTCAGAGGATGGAAAATGAAGATCAGCTATCAAAAGGAAGGGTGTAGTAGAAAAAGTGAAAGAAAACAGAACTTTGGGGAAAGTGACCATTTAATACTGGGGAGCTTTCCATAAGAGAAACTAAACCTGAATGTAATCATATATATAACTTGGACTTCAAAAAAGTAGATTTTACTAATCTCAGTAATGATCCATGGGAGAAGAAACTCATGGGAAATGGAATTCAAGATTGTGGGAATTCCTAAAACAGGAGATACTAAAAGCATAATTGGAAATAATTCAGATTAAGAAGAAAATAGAAAAATAAGACATTCTGGCTGCATAAAAACCCTAGTATAAATCTGAAAATAAAAAAGGAGATATATAATAAGTGGAAAGAGCTATAGTCATCAAGGAGGAATATATATAGGAGGTTTGAATGTATAGAAGCTAAGGTTATTGAAGGATGTTAGCAACAAAAAAGTCTTTGGATACATTCAGAAGGAAGAATATACCAATACACCAGCTGGTCAGGGAAGTTGAGAAAAGGGTATCAGATACTAAACCAAAAGCAGAAATAACCCTAATTTGGCCTATTCTTCTTTAAGAAAAGAATATTGACCAGGCAACTGTAAAGTGTAGGATTCAAGCATGAACTGGATAGAAACCTAGTCAGAGAATATCAACTGATTTTGTATGAGTTTAAATCTCTAGGGCCAGGTAAGCCTTAATTTACTGTAGGAATTAGCTGATGATCTAGAGTCTAGATTATTATAATCTTTAAGAATGGGTAATCAGAAGACAGAAAATGTTGCCCCTACATTTAAAAAAGTGGGAGAGAAACATTCAGGGAGTTACAATCTGGGAATTCAGAAGATAGTAAATAGCCATCTATATTAGTAACCGTTGATTTTTAAAAATATTTATTTATTTATTTATTTATTTCAAGATTTAAAAGGCTGTTCAACTCAGACCATGTAATTCTGGGTGGTGTACAACATAAACATACAATAAATCAAAGAAAAGAAGAAAATCTGTCTAGCAACAAACAAACAATGTATAAATATAAAATCTGAAATGTAAAATGGCAACCGAGCACACAACAAAACAAAATTGGTAACCTTATATGACCTGGATTGATTACAACAAAGTATTTGACTCATACCTCATAGATTAATTTTGAAATGTTTAGGAATTTTTGTAATGAATAAGAAAATTATAGTTTTAAAGTAATGCAGTGAAAAAAAATGGGAAACAATAACGATGAACAGCATAGAAGAACTTGAAGCAAAATCAGAAGAAGAGTCTTTCCTCCATTGCTTTTATATGCAGCTGTGATTCCATTGATAATAATTTTGAACAAATTCCATCAGATTACGAATTATCCAAGCAGGGGACAAAAGTCTCATTTGCCCTAAATGGATAATTTGAAACTATATGCAGATTATCTAGAGAAATACAATTGCTGTTAAATACACTTTGAATCTTTTTTATTTTATTGTTTTTAATTAATAACATATGCACCCAATTATTATTTATAAACTTTTCCCTTAACTAATGCTATTATTAATATGTTGTATGAAAAAATCAAATATGAGGAAGATACTAGGAATTTCTAAATTGCTAATAAACAGTGAAACCTTTTTCTCTGTTGTGGTTATAATAACATATTGCAAATTTTCTGATTGACTATGCAGCCTTGATTGATTGATTGATTGATTATGTACCATCAAGTCAGTGTTGATTATGTACCATCAAGTCAGCAACTACATAGATAGATTTTTTCCATGTCAATTAGTCTGCTGCCATGGTGTCAGGGGGCGGGGTATGACACATGCATCTTGATGTACATACTTAATCATGTGTGATTATGGTATTGTATGTGTGTCATTATTTTGGTGTCATTACAATTTGCAGTATATGCTGCCGCCTTGTAGTCTTAACTGTTTTTTTACTGACCTTATTACTAATGAAAGAAACATATAATGTTCAAAGCAGTTATTTAAAATCTTACTTGGTGTGACAAGTGCTGTAACAGATTCAGACTGAATTTTAACATTCTGTTCTTTATCTGCAGATTTATGTGGCTATGAGCTAATATGACTGGATAGCCTTATTGGCACAAAAATCTAATGCCCCCGCCGATAGCTTGGAGGGACTGAGCACTCACAAAAGGGAATGTTACGGTGGACAGTTCATTTAGAAGGTGGGCCCCGAAGAGTAAACCACGCTGCTGTGGCTGTTGGACATAAAGTATACTCTTTTGGTGGCTACTGTTCGGGTGAAGATTATGAGACTCTACGACAGATTGATGTTCATGTATTTAATGCAGGTAAGTTTATGAATGTTAAGGTTCCAAGAAACAGGACATAATGTTTTATTTTTTAAAAATCAAATATATATTTCTGTGTTTATTGAAATTTAACTAATATTAGTTTAGTATATTAACATTTCAGTTAGTCATCAAACATAGATAAGGTTACTGAGAATTTAAAAATATTCAATTATGGGGGTGAGGCAAAGGAATTTCTCATATTAAATTTTTACAATATTCCTTTTTGGTAAAATTATACCTTTGAGGGAACTTTTCACCTGTTTCAACAAAGAATGTGTGAAATGCTCCTTAAAATACCATGTTTTGGAGGTGTCAGGTTAATAGTATATTGCAGGAGATTTCAAGCTGCCCGCTTATTGACTCTTAATACTTTATGAACACTGGATAAAATGGAAGTTATCAATTTACTTGTTCTTTATTTGCTATTGTGAATTGTGTAATAAATCAGCTAATATCGCAAGAAAGTCAAAGCTCTTCTTATTGTTTATTTAATAAGATATCTTAGATAACTTCATAAGAGAATCCTGTAGAGTTTCCACATTATCTGAGAGTGCCAGTACACTGCATATACCTCCTAGTTGGTAGAATGCCAGCAACAATATATTAGTTTGGAAGATAATCTGTAGATTGGAGATTAGTTTGCATAGAATAGTGAGCATGTCTGTGGTAAAATTGGGCTTGGTCACACTTATGGCATACTGGCCAAAAATGTATGAAAACTGACTGATACCACAGAAAATGCTGCATGTGGCATGGGTACAACTAAGGATAGTAACTTACTCCACGCTTTCTCTACTTTACTGTAAAGCATTATGTGAAAGTCTCTGTTGACCTTATGCCAGCAAAAGTCTTGAAATGGAAGAAGAGTAAATGAGTAAATGGCAAAGAGCATGAATTAACAGTGAAAGACAGACAAGCAGATACATTGTGTGTCTGTGAAACTAAGAGAAAGGGGAGAATGCTGGAAGGAATGTTAGAGATCTGTATGAAAATGATAGTGTTATGTCAAAAAGTAGAATTGAAATGAATGCTCTAAATGTTAGCGTCTGAGAAAAAACGATTAAAAGGAAGTAATAAATGCTGTAAGATTGTTGAAAAATGGCAAGACTGCAGATGTAGACTGAGAAGTTAAAATATAGATGTATTTTGTTTCTGGAGTAGCTGTTTAATGTCTGTGACAACTGCACCTACTGTATCTCTGACAGTTTGAAGAGAGCTGTTATTGTTGCTGGATACACAAAGAAACTTAGGAAAAGTGAATGTAAAAATGGAGAGGAATTCATTTGTTTAGTGTGCTTGGGAAAGTTAGGGAGCAGGTCCATGACTTGTAGGTCTTCCTGGACTCAAAGCTACTGCTAGATGGCAAGTAGAGTTCATGGCCAGGTGAATCTTTGCTCAGCTTCAGATGGTGTGCCAGTTACAGCCATACCTATAGCAGGAAGCACTCACAACAGTAAGTCACAGTTTCCTCACTACCCAGTTGGACTGCTGCAGCATGCTGTACATGGAGTTCTACTTGTTAACTGGCACTACATGTGCTTCACTTCCTGAAATAGTTGCCAGTGTGTTTCCAGGTGCAATTTAAATTCTGTTTTTTATCTTTAAAGACCCATATGGCTTGACATTGAAGCATTTGCAGGCTTGCCCCCTAGAATTGACCCATCTGGTATATACATCCCAAGAAAAATTGCTTGAAATCCCTCACTTTCAAGCAGTTCAGGGGACTAAGGCTAGGAGGAGATATTTCTGTCATAGTCCCCATGTTATGGAAAGCCTTGCCCTAGAAATTTAACTTGCCCTGAAGCAGCCTTCCAGAATTAATTGGGGAGCTCTTCCAGAGTATTTTCTAAATTTAATTATTTTAAATTAGGTAAGATGACACCATGTTGTGATTTTTTTTCTTCATATTGCTTCTTTTTTATTTGCATGTTGGCATGATTTTGATTGTTTTTTTAAAATTTATCCTTGTACCAGACTTCATACTTTCTACTGCAGACAGTCTCTATGCTTCTGTATACTTCTGAAAGTCTCACAATAATGGTAGTATAAAATTGAACAAATGTTAAGTAAGTGAATAAAACATTTGTGAGAATAAATGGAATATTTAAAGAATGGTACAGCATTGGTCAGGGAGTACAAGAAGAATATGTGATAGCCCCTTGGTTGTTTAATGTGTTTATGGAGAATTAAGGAAACTTTGTGAAGACCAGAGGTATATGAGTTGGAGATGTAAATATGCATGTGCTTTTATAGGGAGATGACATTGAATGACTGAGAACTCAAATGATTTCCAACAAATGTTTAATACATTGTATGATGCAGTGAGGAGTATGGTTCTGGAAATTATTGTATCAAAGATCAAGGTAGTTGTATTTGACAGGGTAAGTGAAGTGAATGACTACAAATTAGACACACATAAAAAATAGCAAATAGATTAATTTGCTTATCCTGATACAATGAGAAAGATGGGAAAATGGAGGAAGAAATTTGAAGACATGTAAATTTTGGTAGAAAGGAAGTGGGTTGTACATGGTCTGTTGCAACAAACAAATGTTTGCCAAATGAAACAAAAATAGCCATGTAAAAGGGTCCTCTGCCCACTTTGTTATATGAAAGTCAGAGTTGGGTATGTCAGGAGAAACAAAAGTAAGCTGAATGCAGTGGGAATGGGGTGTTTAAGAAATGTATGTGGTAAAAATAAAGAATGAAAGGGTGTTGAATGAATGTGGATTGAATACAAACATGAGTGAGCAGTATGAAATAAATAACATGGATGTGGTTTGGTCATACAGAGAGAATTAATGAAATTGAAATTGCAAAACAAATAAGAAATAATGAATGAGCTGTGAGGAAGGGAAAGACCAAGAAAATCATGGTTTGATAGAGTTGATGAGATTCTCAAAAGGAGAGGTAAGGATTTTAAGTAAGGATGGTTTTCAAGGATAGAAAGATATAGAGGGGGTGTAGTGAATGGTATTGGTATAATCTACTTACACCTATGTTTTCTTTTTCTTATGTCATGCCTTTAATTTTTTGGCTTACTATTTGTTACTTTTCTGCACTCTGCATAATGTTGCTTATCCCAAAAGGGAATAGCATAATGGGTATGTAAGTATGTATAACTATATATTTCATACTTAATGTTAAATTTAGATTACATGGACACTTCTTTTATTCTGTTCTTAAATTATTACAGTAGATACCATATGAAAATAATAAGACAGTTTGACATCCTCCAGACTAATATTTTATTCTACAGCAGTTATGTGATACCATGTGAACCAATATATCTCTAGATCAGCTATCTTTTGTCTTTTGGCACTTGTATTTCCTTGGGATTAATTTGAAGGAGAGTACATTGGTTAACTACTTAGGCAAATAGTGGTTGGGGGGAAAGGCAAAAGTATATGGAGCTGCTATTCCCTCTCTTTCTAATATCTCCCTTTTTCTCTTTTACTGAAACCCTTTTTTGTCTTTCCCCATGCTCTCATCAAATCATTAGTGTCAGAGAATAATCTTGCAGCAGAGTTCTTGGTGCTCTCTGAGCTTGGTTATT